GAGTTAGAAGAACAATTAATTCTCCAATTGTATTCTTAGTAAAAATTAAAAGCTAAGGAAAAAATCATTAGTCTTTTACATTTGTTTGAAGAATGTTAAAGGAACAAACACGACTTTTTAAAGGACCTTCATTGTGAACAAAACTACTCTGGGACGAGTCTCTTTCGTGGCGATGAGATGACCTAAGGACCGTATGAGGACTCTATTCAATACAGGCTAGCTTGAAAAATGAGCATCTATGCACGTCGACGCTGAAGGGTCCATATATTTGAATGAACGTATGCTTTGAGAACTTATAAAACACATTAGAAGAAATTTTTTGGAAAATTGGCTGTGATATTTGTACATACTCTTTTGACTTTCATCTGTATCAATAGAATTTAATCTATAAAATGGAACCACCTACTTTGCCTATACAACAAAACAAAGGTATTCAAGGATCTCCGTCCGAACCCTAGTAAATGATTGCCTTGAATCATCAACATCCGCTTTGTAGGTTGGAATGACGTTGACAAAAGGACTTCACTCGTTCCAGCCCTTCTTCAAGTGATGATGGCTCAACAGCGAAAGTGATTCGGAGCCAATTTTTTAGGCCAACAGCAAAGTCCTGCAAAACATTATTCCAGTTTATGCGAGAATACAAAACATGGTCTACGTGCACGAGTTTTTATTCAATTGATGTCCACCCGTAATACCACAGAATCATGTTCACTTTATATTGACAGTAATAGTCGAACATTTCATCAAGATTAAGCTTTCCCGATGCTTTCAAGTTCGCATCTTAATTAGTTTTTATTTCAAGTTATGAAAGCATATATATGATTGTTATCATTGAAATGCCTGGTGCGCCCAGTTCTTAATTTAGACCGCCTATTCCCCAAGATTTCAACACATTGATGGCATGTTTGGGACAATGGATTCAACAATATTGGACAGTATGAAGAAAATAGGCTAAAATTTTGTATATTGTAATGTCTAGTTGTGTCGAGTACTGCGTACCAAACATACCTAGAAGAGTTTCGTTAGTGAAAATGTCAAGCTTCAGTTTTCTATTACCTGGAAGAATTATGACAGATTCCTCTTTGGCCATCTTGAAACAGAAGTCAATGTCATCGCTAATATCTTTCAGCAGGGATAGATTAAGCTTCACCTAAATTTTCGAAAGAAAGCATTTTACTAAAGGAGACGTTGATTCTCTATAATTTGAGTCTCGATTTCAGTTATGAAAATCTACAGGTTGCATGTATTACTTACCATGACAGCCATTGACCCTTCTGGTTTATAAGGGCAACTTATGCAATGGATCTCCTTAATCTTCTCGAAACATATATCTGAAGTCTGCTTAAGCATGTTGATGGTTTTTCTGAAGAACACATCATGCGTTTGCTCAATAATTGTTGGAACTGCTGCCTGGCACATGAATAGAAACTAAAACACTCATGATTCACCCATCAATTAATCGCGACGTTTAGTTTGTAATCTATAAAGAACGAGCATATGAAAGCTAAAGTACAAACCTGTATAAAGGTTGCAGGACCTCCACAAATGTCGCAGTACTTATTAAGACGCTCAATAAACTGAAAGTGGAAACAAACAGAAGACCGAAAGGTGTTGGTCAGTGTCCATTTATCCATATTTTTATTGAATTCGAAGCTGAGAACATTTATGGTCTATTTGGTCAGGCAAAAAAAAATATTGTCCATTATAACAAACCTTTGGGGATTTCAAGCTTCCATTGGGATCATTCATAACCAACCAGCCAAGGCGCCAACCGGGAACTAACCATCTCTTTGACAAAGACCCAAGAGTAATCACGGGTGCAATGGATCCAAAAACCCCCATGGGAACAAAAGAACTATCCCCAAAAGCAAGGTGGCCATAAACTTCATCAGCAATTACGACAACACCAAGTCTCTTTGCAGTTTCAGCAATCTGATTTTGGTGCACAAAGGCTTTTAGTAGAGGTAATATTAATAAGCATTTGTAAACGGAAAAGGGAGCTCAAGATCCACAACAACCTTTTTTAAATGTTGATATTTGTAGACATTTCCACAAGGATTCCCTGGATTTATAATAACCATTGCAACAGTATTATGATCCACCAGAGCTTCAACAGCTTTGAGATCAACCTCCCATCCCTTTTCAGGGACAAGATCAAAATACCGAATCTCAAGATGTCTAAATGCGGCACAAAGTCCATAAATTGGATAACCTGGTCTTGGAAGCAAGATATTTGCACCAGGCCCAGCCAAAATTGACTCTGTTATTTCAATAGCCTGTGTACAACCAGCTGTAAGATAAACATCCTCCCAAGATAACTTGTAAGGAAGTTCACTGGACAAATAATCAGCAATTGCCCTGTTCGGTAAAAACAACATTAAGATGGAGGATGCACAAATTGGTTGTGAACGAAAGATCATTCGAACCCAAATTACAGTAAATTTAGAAAGTAATTTGAAGTTGTACTGTAACAATCTAGAGATAAAAGCAATTTAGCACAAAAATACCTTCCCCAGTAAATTAATTTCTTGCTTTTCAAATGAAAAACCAAGAAACTAAAGCCACAAAATCAAATTCAAAACACATGCAAGAGTCCTTTTGTTAAGAAAATTAATATACAAATCATACATCAAAAGTGATTTATAAAAAAATCTTGATAATTGTTAATGAAATTAACAGAATCTGTGGATCGATCCAAACGCATGTCAATTTCAACTATAAATAGTTAAATTCTTGCATGCATGAAATAAATTATACAAAAAACAAAAGATTTTTTTTTCCTTTTACTTTCTGGCTTGAGGGAGTCCAGCAGTAGGAGAGTAACCATTAAACTTAGCAGAAAGAAGAGACTCCATAACAGCTTCTTGAGCAACTGCAGCTGTATGGAAGCACGAATAAGCGGTTGGGTCCCCAATTCCCAAAGAAATCACTTTTCGATCATCATTACACTCAGTATTTCCCATCAACAACCCAATAATCCCTTTAATTGTAATATTATTCGGAGTTTCAATTTCCCAATTCTGCTTCTTCGGATCATCCATTTTTGGGTGGCTATTCTTGTAAAGATTCAACAAATTCTTTTGAAATTGTGTGTGATTGTGTTTTTGCGTGGGTGGGTTTTTTTGCATGGTCGTGTTTTATGTGTTGAGAATGGGACTAGCGTGTGCGGTTGAGAGTAATCCACGCCCACGCGGCATGACGGGGTAAGAATGGCATGTTCTCGTGATGTCCAACGTTGTCTTTTATAACGTTTGGAAAGGATCAGTTTTCATGGAGAAAAGAAAAATGTTAGCCGAAGAAAACACTGCAAATAGATGAACCTATTGAATTGAATTAAAAAAATTCTTCCCTTTCTCAAACTTGGAGAGCTTTGGCTCCTGATTGACTATCATTATTTTCAATTTTTTTATCTATTTATTTTTAATCAGACATTCACTCAATAAAATATTTTATACATAAATTTAAAATTTTTCTCTACTTTTTAATTACATATTTTCTTAAAAATTATAATTCAAAATATTATTTTTTGAAAATAATGACCACCAAACATGGGTTTAGTTATGATTAATATTAGTGATTAAAATACTGCATGTGGTACACGTTTGGATAAGCTTAAAAGATTTAAATCCTGTTTGATTACACTTATTTTCCATGGATCTTGGAATTTAAATTCCATTCCCATTTGCTTGGACAAATTTGGCCAAGAAAAAATTTTCCTACCCCCACCCACGCGCCATTTTTCCTTCAAAATTTTTTTTTTATTTTTTTTATTTGTCATTATTTTTTTTTTTTTTTTTTTTGTTGGCAATAGAAACAAATTTCATAACCAATTGTAAAAAAAAAAAAATTCACTTTAATGGACAATTTACATGTAAAACAAAGTCAAACGAACACAAAATTTTGATGATTTTTTTTTTAAAATTTTTTAGTAATGAAAACAAATTTTATAACCAATTGTGGAAAAATTTATCATTTTAATGGACGATTTTCATGTAAAATAAGTCAAACGAACACAAAATTTAAAAATTTTTCGGGTGAAAAATTATACCAATCAAACGAACCTAATTAACACTTCTCTGCAAAATAATTTCTAAGTAATTACTTTCCCTGAAATTCATATTCTTTCCACCAATTTTCCACTCTTACAATCAAATGGACCCTTGGCGTTTATAATTTCATGGAAATTAGCACTTTTGGTCTCCATTTTTTGTAAATTATAACCAATTTATTATTAATAATTCATTTCCAACCTTTCAATTACGCAGTAAATCTAATTTTTTCGGCCATTAAATGATAAATAAACATAAAAGAAAATAGTAAAACAGTATAAAATAAAGAAAAATTACAAATGGGGTCCTACAATTTTTCAAAGTATAAATAAATTATACTTAAAAGAAAGAAAGAGAAAAAAAAAAGGTCTAAAGAAATAAGTATCTCTAATTATCAAAAAATACATGTCAAATGGAGTTTGACTATCAGGCAAAGGGTGTGATGCCCAATCTCACTTAGGTCAAGTTTCTGAGTGAAAAATATTATTAATTTGTAGTTGAAAAAACACTTATGCTCATATCGAATATTTTATATAAAATCAACTTCATGCTCCGATATCATACTTTCTCGATGAACTTGTCTTTGTCCTTTTGTTGCTCTGTCTAATAGTTACAGTGTGGTTTACTCTCTCGACAATAACTTAATTTGTTATCTTAACTTGTGGATCGTGAATATGATTTATTGTGTGAGTTTTCGATGCACTGTTATTAATTCTGCATTTTGTGCTCTCATACGTTAGCAAGTGATGGAGCGTCATTGTGATTTGAGCATGTATTTGAATTGATTTTTGTGTTCTCGAGCATTCGCATTTTTATTTTTATCATAATTTGAGTCTAATTCAATCCTTTAATTTATTTATTTTTTTAATAGTTTTTCTTTGGAATAAAAGCATCCTTTTGTACTTTCAAAAATTCCAGCAAACACCGTATCGAGAGAAATCAAAAAAGGAAATGGTATTCAAGGCGAACCCGTTAGCTCTAAGCGTACCTGAACCCGCTTTCGAGTCCTGGCTCCGAGACTCCGGCTACCTCGAAATCCTCGACCAGCGCACCTCCGACCTCCACCGCCTCTCCGCCGCCGATTCCACTTTCGAGCTCCGTAATTCCGCCGCTGACTCCACCACGACTTCGATCATATGTAGCGGCTTCTTCGTATCACTCTTCTCCCGCATTTGGACCCTTCTCTCGCTCATTACTTTCAACCCCTTCTCCAAGCTCGTCGCCGAGGACTTCTCCGGTGACACGCCTTCTTGGACCCTCGCGTTTTTCGGCTCCTCTGATTCTTACTCCTTCCCTTCTTCTCCTTCCCAGGCTCGTCTCCGTGTCCACGAGAATGTCAAACGCTTTGCTCGCAATTACGCCTTCCTTTTCATCGTCTTCTTCGCTTGCTCTCTGTATCTACTCTCTCTTTCTCTCTCTATTCATGTGTGATTGTGTGGGTATCTGTAGGAAGAATGCTATATTGATTTATAATTGTTTTGGGGTTTTGAGCTAAACTTTGAAATTTGGGCGAAGAAATTGTTATTTTACTCTTTCTTTGTTCTTGAGCTAAAATATGCATTTATCCTCTCACTCTCTATCATTACGTGTATTTTGACATTTTGTTGATTTTAAAGCTGGCATTTTTATTTTTATTTTTGGCAAAGATTTAATTTTACTGATTTTTAGTCAATTAATTTTGAACGAAGATTTATGGTTAAAATGTTCACTATGAAGAATATGAATGTTCTCAGAATTGTTTGTAATTTTCTTGGTATTAATTAATTGTTGATAAGTAACGGTTACTGGGATATTAAGGTTGAATAATAAGATTCACTAGTAATATGAGAAAATATAAAGTTCGCATGTCTCTTCAAGTGTCTTGTGGATCTTTCTTATTTTATGATCATGTTATAGTTGACATTTAAATCTGGCAGGTATCAATTGCCACTAGCTCTTCTTGGGTTGATATCATGTTTGGCACTCTGGGATGTATTTAAGTTTTGTGCTTATCGGTGGGAATTATATAGGCGCCCTTCTCTCAGACAGGCCTTGCTTCACATTGCCCAGTGTGGTGAGTTGAGTTTATATTTCTTCGAATTGAATTTGCTCTTTTCTTGTTTGCTTGCTGCACCTGTTGGATGGAAGTAAACCTGCAAAGAAGCAGGTGTTTAAAATATGTTCTTAGACACAATGAATAAAATTTGCATTCTGTTATGTGGAAGTTTCTTGTATATCTTTGTTCTGGTTTCTGGGACAGATGCACGGTTAAACCATTTAGCTTTTAGGTCCATAGGATGATGGTGAATGAACTTAAAATCATACTTGATAACCTAATTTTGCGACAGCGGCTTTGAGGGATCCAAAGTATTCCCTTTGGGACAATGGCTAGAGCTTAGATGTTCCATTGTTGCCAATTTTACACTTCAATTGTATGCATACATGAATAACAGAGTCTATTCAGACTGCAACTTTACTACCACTGAGGACCATATACTGATAAATAATATCAGCAAACTGCAAATTTATTAATTTTTATCATGTATTTAGTTTTTGTGAATGTACATTGAGGAAATAAATGGTATATCATATAATTTGTTACAGAAGACGTAGTGTAACTCTTCTTTTATCAACATAAATTCGGTTTATTTTAGCAAAGGGTGGTACATCGTTGACCATGTTATAGTCTTTCCATGAATATGAATATAAAATACACATTATGGAACTTCTGTTACTGAACTTAAGTTTCTTCATCTAAATGCAAATTGCTCTTTTATCATTTTTGCTTGAAAAGATTGGACCACATATGCATATGCTTATTAAAAGTTTCTGCATGAATCTTGGATATGTAAGTTGTCTCCATTGAGTTATAAAATGACACAAAGGCTTGGTTCCACATAAAAAGTCCATATTACCTGAATTCAAACATATATATGATATGATACAAGTAAAAAATGACTGATTGGTAAATGTTCCCCAAGATATGGGATTATTATCTCTATCATAGAATTATTACACCTCCTATCTTGAGGTTTAAGGGTGAAACACACATGATTACATATCTGCCCCGCCTACAGGGCATAGTTTGAAGGTGGGGCTGGATATTGAAAATCTCTTCAGCCCCAGATCATTGAGTGTAATAATTGGGAGCTGGATGTTGAAAATCTCTTCCTTGGAATTGGATTTTGTACTGAACAGTTGCAACCCATGTGATGGAGGGTTGAGTAGGTTTATGCCAGCAATACGCTCAAAACTGTGTGAAGCTTTTGGTAGACTACCGAGTTCCAGGGATTAAAATGCAATTGTTGTGATAGACTACAAGTATAGATTCTTGGTATCATTATTCATCTCAAATTTCTTATGCTATGTTTATTTAGTTAATTGCGGTTGGCGCTACCAATAACGAGCTGAATGCAGAACTTTCTACCATATAATGTACTTTTTTTCTCTTTCAAAAAGGTACGATGCACGAGTCTTAGGGTTGTTTGACAAAGCTTTTAATAAAAAAGTAGATTTTGATAAAAGTTGTGATATGTGGTTAAAATTAATTGTTGACTTTGACCTTAACTTTTAGCAACTTTTTAAGCTATCTCAAACAAGTACTTAAATGTAATTCCAAAAGCTTTCGACGGCTTGGGAAGTTTATGGGGCTTCGGGCTCCTTCAGTTTTGCACTACAGGTTGTTGGAAAGGAGAACGTGCGTGATTGAGAATTTTATTATAAAGTGACCTTTTTGGTCATCATGAATAATGTTCTGTGAACTTGTTTAGCCAATTAAAAGTCATCTAGTTTTCCTAAGCACGTTGCTCGTATTGGTGAAATATCTTCTGCTCCACATGAGAATTTGTTTGAGAATTGATTTCACTTTTGTATCTTTGATTCTCTTGTGCCAATTGAAGGAACCCTTAACAGTAACTTTGTTTTTATGCTATATATAACTTCACATTAACACATAAATTTTGCACCTAGCACTATCCTGTCTACAGAATGCTAATCAAGCTTCCTTGTCCTTGCAGCAACTGCAATTATTCTGTTCTTTTTCAATGTTCAATTGGCCCTCTTATTTGCTCTTGGCGTCAGTTACGCAGGTGACTTTGCATTCATTACGTTCTTTTGGCATTCTGTACTCTAGCACCTTTATTATTTCGAAGGCTTTGAATGTTACTACTGACATTTCTTCTGTTCGTGAATTTTTTGCAGTCCTGATTGTACATGCCTCGTTTAGGAAGTTGACCCCTGCAAAGCAATCTCAGAGAGATGGAAATAGAAGGATTGACCAAAGATGAAGATCTTGCATATTAGTCGAAGGCTGTATAACTGTATTCTTTGCATCATTCTGCTAAGGCGGGGAGGACTTTTCCCGGCTATTAGGTAAGAAGCAAAGAAGGAAGGCTCTACCTCTAGTCACTCCACTCCATAGGTAGTGCACGCAGATTCTTCTTTCATTTTCAATGATACCGTGAACCACTATCACTATATCTAATCTTGTTGCCCAACCCTTTCAAGTGACCAGCTGTAGAGCTTGATCTCCAGTTTAAATTTTGTTTTGTGAACTATACAGCAAATTTTCTGCTTCTTATGTATGAGGAAAGCTTTTTTAATGATTGTATCACATTAATGTGAGCATGTGAGGAAATTGGTTTCCACAAAACCAAGGAAAATGTGAGCATGTAAGCCAAACCATGAAAGTTTTTTCCATAGAAAAAATGTGTATCAAATAAGGCAAAAGTGGAAGTTGGAATTTGTTTTTCATCTTCCATGGAAAATAATGGCCTATCAAACAGGCCCTTAAAGTTGTTTAAATTTCCAAATTTTACTAAAAATAAATCAGGATTTTTTGGAAAAATAAATTCCAAACAGCTTTGGAAGAGTTCTGATTTTCGACTGGGATGGATGGTTCGAGTCGGGTTTGGCTCCTAATGAAAACAGAGCAAAACATCAAAACATGCATCTGAGTTAATTGACTCCTAAGGATGAGTATGCAAAATATAATAAGCTAGCAACTAAGCATCCAGTTGCAAGCAGCAGTTACTAAAGAGGTACAGAACAAAAGGTGAGTGAGAGGCAACAGTTACTGATCCTAGAGTCTTTCAACATTGTAGTTCAGTTGGTTTAGCAGACCTGTGACTAGTTGGTTGTATAAAGTCACTTATTCATTGAGTTCTAGATACGTTTGTTTTTTTGTCAATGGTAGGTTCCAAGTGAAATTTAAGTTATGCACATAGCCCCCATTTTTGCTGTCAATATAACTTTTCACGTCTCAACATAAATTATATCTATCTGAGAATGATTCTCACACACTAAAATACTGCAACCTGCCATAGGGTAAATGCAAAAAATCTATAGACGGGTGTCGTTTGCTTCCTGGGAAGTTTTGATCTAATACGGGATCAAAGGATTGCATTCATCTTCAACAATATAAAAAATCCTAAAGTTAGCAGGTATGCTAGTCCAAACCAGATTTACCCCCCATTCTTGAGAAATAATTAGGGATACTGAGAAGATGATCCCTTCTCTCTTGTTCAATCCCCATACATGGAAACTGGTTCCCTAAGAGAGAGTATATTACCCCAGATTTAAGCCACAAATTATATTAGACATCAATTCCATTTCTCATTTTTTTTCTCTTTCTTCATTTCAACCACACATTCTATCAATAAAATAATATTACACATAAACCAAAAAATTTTCATTACTTTTTAACCACGCATTCTTCCATCAATCACTATTCCAAAATCTATTCTTTTCCCAAAATGGGTGTCAAACACAAGCATAATGTTGTGAAAACATGTAATATATTCACCAAAAAATATTTGGAATCAGGTTCAATATAGAGTTCACGACTATTTAGCAAGATCATCCATTTGCCTGCCAACAGTGTTAAATCAATTATTATCAAATACACCTTTGTGAAGCCCCCCTCTTCTCCCAAAAGAGGAGGATAAATGAAAGGAAAAGCCACAGGTTAGAGATCTTTACAATAAAATGAACACTAAATCTTTAGCATGCATTATTCATAAATATATAACAAATAGAGATGGGAGGCAAACAAATTAAGCTCCCAAAATTTCAAAAAATCATGAAATTCTTTCGACAGATAGAACCCCAATAAGTTTCCACAATGTCTACATTATGAGGCAAGGAAAGTCAAATGTTAGATCTTCATGGTTCTGTGAGCACCAACTCCTGCAAAAACCCAAGATCACCACCGGACAAGGCAAGACCAAATATAAGTTGGATCATGAAAAAAATACCAAATAGTCTACTCTGCTTCTGACCATAAACAACATCAGTTCCAATTGCAATGACATAATGAACGAGTCAGTCAAAAGCTTCAACTTTAAGACCTTCAATCTCCAAAGTAACTATTCAGGACATGAAAGAGCTCAAGATTCTGTAAGCCATCAAAGAAAAGTGAGGTTGTGTCAACTTTATGAGGAAAAACTTCATTTTCATTTTCCTTTTCTTCTGTTACTTTTTCTTATATTCACGTGAAATGTGGAGTGATGTCCATCAACTTGATCAGCATATTAAAAATTATAACGACTATAATCAGAATTTCAAAGCACTTATTTATTGCCTTATGATTTATGCAACCAGTAAGTCAAGTTACAATTAAAGAATCTTTGGGAATTGATAATAAACGGTTTTAATTATAAATAGATAGAAGTGAATGGTGAATAAGTGGATTAAACCATATATATTTATAATTCTAAACACGTGTCAAACAGGTGCTTAGAATAAATGAGCACACCTTGACATAAAATCATCTATTTATCTGAGCTTTTGCTGCATTAAACTAATGGACTAGATTGGCCTAGCAAAAATGTGTAATTTGATAGGTAACCTCACAGTGTCAGACAGCTAGGTAGAGCTTACCTCAGAAGGATTCTTCTTCAAACAAAGGACAAGAAAAATGCTCATCTAGCTGCATATAACCACAAAAAAATGTAATGCATAATGAAAGACTATGAGATTAGTTTGTGCATGCATCGATAAAAGTAAACCTGTGGGGGATTCTCCCGGGGTATGATAAACAGAACTCTCATAGGATGGAGCTCTGCCAGTGGAAGTTCCCCTTTGGCCATCTCGATTGCAGTAATACCTAGGGACCAAATATCTGCCTGGAATAAGCAAAGGCTTCCAGCATTTAGCAATTAGTCACAATATAAGGATGATCATATTGTAGGATCACACGTCAACACGTTTGAAATTAGTATTATGGGAAAACAATGAAGAGAAACATGAATCCTGAAATAAACAAATGGTGGTTCCTACAAGTCATAACTTCTCATAGTATCCTTCCGTGTTTTGAATTACTTCTGGAGCCATCCAAAATGGCGTTCCTACAAATGTCTGTTAAGCTCTGATGATTCCTTGGCATAATTTCCATTCAGCTCAATAATTAAACAAGAACAAGAAAATATATCAGCTACTTAAACATTAAAACCATAAAAAAAAATGGTTAGGTTTCTCAAAACAACTGGGGACATTACACAGTAATAAATTCGTTTTTGCTTCTATAATCATTTCTCTCCAACATAAAATTGGCAACTACTAAATCTAAATTTTTTTAGATAGAAACAGTTGAAGGAGAAAAACTCTTATAAATTTTAACACATTTTATAAGTTTTAGCTTTCATTCCACAGACCTCTCTATGCATTCTTTGTTACTTCTATTATTCTTGTTCATAAACATTTGTAACATAAAATTGGAATCCTCAGTAAGTACCACGGTTTGAAAATTGGTATAGACATTTTTTGCAATAACGATGAAAGATAGAGACATTATGTACTAATTATCCTTTTAATAATTTATTTGAAACGCATTTGCACTTTAAAAAAAAAAAAATTGGGAGTATGGTTGTAATTAGTTTTTTTTCTTTTTCTTTTTATTTTATTTAAAGAGAATGGAATATTCATCATTTCACAATTTTTAATTGATAAAATATATGAAAATGACCTTTTGCGCAATAAAATGTGAAAATTAGGATGAAAATGTCAAAAAAGGAAGGTATGGATGTTTTCCATAATAACAATGAAAAATGAGTACGTCATGTGCTATTTGGAGAGAGAAGAGTTCTATATATGGAGAGAAATTTTAAGGGGGAGAGAGAAGATATTTACGTGTGGGGTAGGTGAGGGTGAGGTGACCTCCATAAATGAAAGATGTAGAAAGAAAGTTGGGGTGCGTGGGTAAGGTTGAGTGGGGTGTATAATATATTTTTTAAGTAAAAATAATTATAATCTAATTTTTGAAAATAATTAATTAATACTTGATTTTTTAAATTTAAAAATTGAAATACCGTAATAAGTACCCGAATAGAGAAGGGAACAAACCCACCTTTTGTCATCATGTTACTGTTCAAAAGAGGCGAAACTTAAAGAAAATATCATATAGTTTATATTGTAATGACGCGTTTCTTGTCATGTTGCTTCTTATCTAGTGAATGTCTCACAACGTTTAAATTTTAATTTAAGTTGGTTAAACATCATTTTTATACATAGTGCACTCCATTAAAATCATAACTTTGTTTATTTTTTATTTACATATTTCGTGAGATAATTTAAAATGAGTTTAACCAAACATACATTTCCTACCTAAGCGAGTTTTATATGCTATATGAAAAAGAAACTCTTTGGAAACTAAAAAGTAATATAGAAAAATAATTGTAGGAGGATCCACTGCCACACAAAAAAACAATTGGAGGGATTACAACTTGCTTAGATAAAGTTAACGTTTAAGATTTAGGTGGGGAAGTGTGGGACTCACGTGAGATCCGCTCGTGTGCTTTGGCTGAGTGTCAATGTGGATAGTAGAACATCGTTAGATTAGATTGACATTATTGCGTGCTAAATCATGTTCGATCTTACCCTCTCATTTGTAACGCGCACTAGTATTTTAATTAATTCAAGAAAATTATTGGAATTAGATAAGAACTCAACCAAAATAAAAGGGAGGGAGCAACCAGGGGAACGAGAATAACCAACGACAATACGATGTTAAAGTTGTGTTGAGTTCGATGGATGTTTCTAACAATGTATGAAGTAGTAGAAGATGAAAGAGCATGTATTGCGATTTTAATTAATTCAAGAAAATTCATTGTGTATTGGAATTAGTTAAGAACTCAACCAAAATAAAAGGGAGGGATCAACTAGGGGAACGAGAATAACCAAGGACAATACGATATTAAAGTTGTGTTGAGTTCGATGGATGTTTCTAACAATGTATGAAGTAGTAGAACATGAGAGAGCACATATTGTGTGAGAACAATGATATGTAAATATGTGATCATACGTATGGGTGGAGCATGTTTGGTAAATATTTATAAATGGTTTAAATTATAAATATATAGAAATTACAATTAGATAGTACTTGTGGAGCGCTCAAAATACATGAATAAAAAGTGACTTTAGTCTGATTTATATTTTAAAATGAGAAGTAAGTAGAAAGGACGGACAATTCTTTAATTACAGTATAATCCGATTTTATGAGAGTGTATATACTATGCCCATGTTTAGTATTGATTAAAATCAGATTTTAATTTAAGTTAAAGTCATTCGATTAATATTAACCACATATATTTCATTGATCCCACAACTTTTTAACCACACATTTCATTAATTTTTATCAAAACCTACTAAAAATCTACTTTTAATCTCCAATAAGACAAGGGCTATGTACTGCTGTTCTTAAAGACAATTTTTATATTTAGGCACGTCATGTCTTCTAGCAATGAGAAAATATCAACATATAAGCCTTAACATCTTCTAATTTGTCTTAAAAAATTTAAAAATTATTAATAACAATAAATTTGGAGCAAGATCTCAACTCAGGAGTGTTTGATGCACATTATTGAGAAGAAAATGCATTTATGATGTGATGTGATGGAAAATATATGGTTAAAAAATAAGGAAAAATTTTGAATTTGCGTGTAATATTATTGTTACTCATATAAATAATCGTAAAGTTAAGTTCCATGACAAGTTGGCAGGCCCACATGTGGGATAGCGGGTGGGCGACCCTGTGCATGCCGATGCAATCTCAACCTAGATATTCCTCGTCCGAGCCTCGTCGACGAAGGCACCAACTCGCCTCTATTGAGGCAGTAAGTCAACCGAGCAAATTAAATGAAATGATTGACAAGACAACACCCTGTCAGTGCCGTCTCTACACACCTTCGCCGTCAGATCAGGGAAAAGACAATGGGATCTAAGTATTAATGATTTGATTGATTGATTGACTCTAACAAGGACCATTGGATCTTCTGCGATCGAACGAACCTCATCCACCCATGGGGGATACAAAAAGCCTTAACTCGAGACGTTAAGGGGGTAAAATTCTGACATTTAGAGAGAAAACATTGATTCTCCCTGTCATGTGCAACGGTCGACCCCTTTTTATTTGTAAAGACTGTCATAGCATCACCATACAAAACACAGTGGATCATTCCCTACAATGATTCATAGTTACGATTCATATTTAAGTTCTAGTATGTTGTAAGTCAATATCTAAAAAAGTGATTCTCTAATTTTCTGTTGGCCACGTCATAAGATTATTTTTTGGAGTCAACAATTATATTAGTGGAAATTGCAAGAAATGTCCACTTTTTTCTAGCCACTTGCAAAAATGGCAACTTTCAAAAATCCTTGCAAAAATGGCCATTTTGGTATATTTTAGACCAAAATACCCATGGTTAACAATTTATGATTCCATTTAAGAACAATAAAATGGACATTTTTGCAAAAAAAAAATATGGGCTAATGAAATCTTGACACATAACCTACTCCATTTATTGTAAATGACAAGATGTCAAATCACAATTAATGTTATTTTTTGCATTAAAACAGAAATGTCGAGAACGACATTTCAAGTATAGAGAAATGTCATGTTTGAAATGAAATGTCCTTCTAGACATTTAATATGTCGAGAATGACGTTTTGAAATGTCGAGAACATTTAATTTTGTGATTTGACGTGTGTATTATTGAAATATGAAATTGGATTCAAATGTCGAGAATGACATTTTAAATGTCGAGAATATGTAGAGATTAAAATGTCCCTTTTTTTTTTCATTAAGGGCATAATAGACAGTTTAGTATTAAATTTAAAAATTGGACACTTTTCAACTCACACTCTTTATTGTGGACATTCTTGAAAATACCCCATTATATTATTAAAAAAGTATATAATCGAAAATAAATATTGAAAGAATGAATTTTGGAAAGAATGTGGATCAAAGTCATCGCTAGTGGAATCTAAACATTCACGTGATTTCCAGAAACAAAATTCAGCTTCAATTCCAAACGTGAATTCCTCACCAAACTCTTGCATATATTTGTACGATGAAATAGGGTGTCATTAATGTAATTTACAAAACTTCTGAGCGCGTGTGTAGAAAGACTGTAGAGTTGAGGATGTCAAAGGGAAAGGAACGAGTGCCCCGCCCCTCAATTCGCGCGCTCCAATTTGTTTATGAGAAACGATGCACCCACCCTGGCACGGCACGTGATCACGTGACTCCTACATCTCATATTCTCGAATACGACAGAGTTTTGCATCAATTAATCTTTATTTGCGCACTCCCACCAAATCCTTCTCTCTTTTCACTAAGGAAACTTTTCAATAAATTTTAGATTTAACTTTTCACATATAGTACGTTAATACTAAGGAAAATAATTTAAGTCCCAATTTGATCTACATTATTATTTTATTAAAATAAAAAATATGATCGTTATTTATTACATTAATATTTAAATTCAAATTTTCCATTTCTTGTGTGGACCCCAATAACGATGATATTTTTCATTCTCATTCTATAGTAATTTGGCTCAAACAGGGCCTAAAGTAGGAAAGAAGTTTAAAATATCGTTATTGCAACACATACAATTTCACATATTAATATTATTAATTGGACAATAATTTGTTCTTGTTCGGTGGAAATTAAAATCAAATTTATAGTAAATTTTGATAAAATTAATGAGATGTATGGTTGAAAAGTTATGGATCATATAAGATGTAACCTAATAATCAGAGGGAGTGCCCAGATCTCAGCTTTTATATTTTATTTCACGTAACTGAGGCCGTACGATTAAATAACGATTACCCCACCCCGTAAGTCTTCCCAAGGTGAGATTTTGTGTAATATTTTAAATAAAATTTATATTTAGCAGTCTCACCCACTTGCTTTTGACTGGTAAAGATTCTAAAAGCACTATTTAAATGTCTTATTTACCCCTGTCTGCCGCAGCGCACAAGTTAAACAGTTGAAAAATAGAATAATGCAAGATGCAGAGTTTTCCGTGACATTATGGTTGATATTCCCTATGTCGAAAAAATTTGTGCAACGATGTGATAAATTGATTTTAATGAATATATGTGAAAGTGTATCAACAAAAATGTGAAGAAGAGTGTACATATAACATAATTTTTTAAAAAATATAGAAAGTTTTTGTATAACTTACACGTGTGTTGAGGATATAACATAATATTCTATTAAAAAGGAATAATGCTAAGAGTACATCACCCNGTCCCACATGGGCCGAGGCACTCCTCCAATGAGGAGGCGCCACTTGACTATTATGTCACCCCTTATGTAAGGGGTGATGTACTTGTAGCAAGACCGATTAAAAAGGCAGTATTCAATGATCATTATTGTGTAAAAATGATGTTTTAAATATTATTTTTTGAAGAATATGTGATTAAAAAATATTTTTCTTTTTATTTATATGCAAAATATTTTATTGATTAAAATTGAATATAAGAAATAAATTATTTTATTATAAAGGGAGTCAAAAAGAGGCAAAATATGGTTACTATTTTTAAATAGTGAGATTCAAGTAATTTTCGAAGCATAAGTCTATTTGTGCCACGTCCACGGATACAACGGATACACTTGTCTTTCTGGACCATTTGTATATGTAGCAGAGCTCATTTTCAAATATTCAAATAAATCTCCTATACCAATTAATGTACAGACTTGACATCGCTGTAGAAGCACGTTGCTAACAAACCGATGTATCGAAAGATAGAACAGAAGTTGTTTTCAATGTTTTCCGTGGTCGGGTAACATGCACGGGTACAAACTTTTATTGCACAATTCCACCTCACAAAATTTACTTCCCAACCACCACAAGGGTATAAAGGTCATTGACTTACATCCCACCCTCGACTGTCCACCCCACAAGGATGATAAAAGCTGTCCCCACTGTATTTTTCAAGGTTAAACTTAAAAAACAAACCCCAAAAAGAAGCGATATCACTTTTACACACACGCCCTCCCTCTCTACTCGCCTTTTTGTTTCCCCCAAGTAATCAGTTTTGGTATCACAAGGTAAAAAGTGAAAGAAAGAAGATAAAGTAATAAAGAGAGGGTTGGGTTTTGTTGGAAACAATTGTGATTCTGATTGTTGTCCAAGTGAATTAGACAAAGAGAGAAATGGTGGGCTCAGCAGCATCAGACAGGAGCAAAGAAGCAGTCGGGATGATGGCCCTTCATGAGGCCCTCAGAAGCGTCTGTTTAAACTCAGAGTGGACTTACTCTGTCTTCTGGACCATTCGCCCTCGCCCGTATGTACCCTCTTTATTTTTCTTCTATCCCTGCTTAAAAATCACTTCTTTACTCCATTTCTTGCAGGAGAGTTAGAGGTGGCAATGGTTGCAAAGTTGGAGATGACAATGGTAGCTTGTAAGTGTTCAATTTGACTTTTCCTAGAAAAGAGCCTATGTTTTTCTTGGATTCATCATTAATCGTTTGTTTTGGTTTAGGATGTTGATGTGGGAAGATGGGTTCTGCCGAGGCAGACTTGCAGACTGTTTAGATGAGATGGATGGAGAGGATCCTGTCAGAAAGGCCTTCAGCAAAATGTCAATTCAGTTATATAATTATGGAGAAGGGTGGGTACTGGGTAGGTGCTTTTGGTAGATAAAATGTCTGTCATTCTCTGTGCTCCAATTATGATTAGGCTGCTGCACGGGGGAACTAAAATCAAAATTTGAAAATGTTTTTAAGTTTTTTTAGTACGCGTATTGACTATTAAATGAGTGTATTGTGATTGGGTGAATTGGATGCAGGTTGATGGGGAAAGTTGCTTCTGATAAATGTCATAAATGGGTATTCAAAGAACCAGCTGAGTGTGAACCTAATATCTCCAACTACTGGCAGAGTTCATTTGATGCTGTAAGTATTTCAAGAAAAAACCCTTTATAGCATACGTTGAACTAGATGAGACGAGACGAGAGTGAACAATTATCTTTTATAATAGCATTGGAAATTATGGTAGTCAAGAATTATTGGTCTAATTGAACTTTTGTTGTGTGATTTATTAATTTCAGCTTCCTCCTGAGTGGACTGATCAGTTTGAATCGGGCATTCAGGTTAGAATCAATAGTTCAAGAAAAATTATTCACTGTTGTATTTGTAAGTTTAATCCGGTCATCCTTCAGTGCTAAATGGCTTAACCTTCGTGTCCTTTGACATTTCTTGAAGACTATAGCTGTTATTCAAGCTGGACATGGCCTACTCCAACTGGGTTCTTGCAAGATTGTGAGTTTATTTTGTTATTTTAATCTTGTTTATGTGATTTCGTGTCACTTTGATCTCACGAGAGAGAGTGTATATTGTGTTTCAACTTTCAGATACCTGAAGACCTTCATTTTGTGCTGAGAATGAGACATATGTTTGAATCCTTAGGCTATCAATCTGGATTTTACTTATCCCAACTGTTTTCTTCAAACCGCAATGCCCCATCGTCTTCTGCACTGCCTTTAAAGCAACCGGCAATGCCAATCCGCCCTTTCCCACCCCTATTCAATTGGGGACCAAGGCCAATCCATTCAGCAACATCAGTCCTTGATGCATCTCCAAATTTTAAAAATTTGGGTCGACTTGGCATTCCTCCGTCCAAGGACGAAACACACATGTTCCTTCATCCCCATTCGTCAGAAGCAAGAATGGAAGATATGATGGGAGATCACGAAATCGACATCAAATGGCCAAATGGATTGAGTTTCTTTAATGCTCTAACTGGGCGAACCGATGATGCCAAGCTTCTGTTTAATCCTAATGGCCTAGGAAACAAGCCAGAGAATCCCAACTCAGATGCTTCAAGTTTGCACAATAACGGTAGTGCAAATCCTAACGAGTTCTTGACCTTGGATAGCCACCCGGATAGCATTCGGAAAGTGGAGAACAATAAGTTCAAGAGGAGCTTTACGTTACCTGCTAGAATGTCTAAATCTTCTTCTTCGGCTTCACTTGATCATCATGCTGCACAAAATACCGGGGAGTACAGGAATGAAGCAGGAATGTACTCTGATGTTATGGAAACTTTCTTGGAGTAATTTTATAAAGGGCATGTATGAAAGGATAATACTAGGTTGAGAAGTTGTATTTAGGATGATGTTTCCTTTGATGTTCACCTTTGTTTGTTTTAGCATTTTCTAAACTATGTTGTTGTTCTTTGATCCTTTGGGACATTATTTTTTCATAATTTGTTGTCGACTTTAGTTTGCCATGAAAAGTTTAAAAGAAAATAAATGTTCTACAAAATAATTGATAGTTAATCATCAGTAAGTTTGGCCTTTGGGAGCTCGGTTTTGGTCTTGGTCATGGTCTACGTTACGCGTCATCCAACAACTTAGCACATGTTTAAATAAATGTTCATAAACACCTTTGTCAAAGAAAATATTTTTGATCAAAATTACTTTTATCTCTATATTTCGTACGATCTACAATTACTATCGACTTCCTTACTACTTATAATCTTTTATATAAACGTCTTGTCAAACGTGCTAACATTATATTCCACTCATCTAGACTTGTGCTGTCTAATACTCGCAACTCGGATGGTCAACTTCCACCTGGATGGGTAGAAAAAAAACACCTTTAATCATGCATAAAGCGAATTAACCGGTGTAATTGCGTAATTAATGGCCAAATATGCGTAGATACTACAAGACCATCCAATTATACAACTTTCTTCTTTTGAATTTCTTAAAGGTGGTCTTTAAAGCATCATTACAATACTAATTTCTAGTGTCACGTAATAAAATAATAGTGAAGTGTTCTCCCGGATGTGACTAGCGTTCCGGTTGCTCAGTTCGGTATTTACAACCTGCAAAATGAGGTCGGGGCTCTCTCCTCCGTTGTATCTCCGACGTGAGAATTAGTATTCAATATTGGAGAATATGGAGAAAATATTGGAATTCAGATAGTTCGAGTTTCAAGAGTCCATACATTTTCCCACATTAAGGTATTTATAGGCACCTGATGGCACACCCATGTTCCATGATTTGTTGTGTCACCTAACCAACATGTATCTTCCCACTTCTCTACATTCTATAGCGTCAACCCCCACTTGTCTAGTTGTTGGTTATTTCCGCGTTTGTTGTTTGGTGGCTTTCATCTATCTCAAGGCCATGTATTTAGCTAAGTATAATGGGGGTCGACAGCCTCGTAATGGTAGACAGCCTATGTGAGTGTAGAACGCCTCAAGGGGGTCGACGCCTCGTAATGGTAGACGACCTATGTTGGTAGACGGTTTATGTGAGCGTAGAGTGCCTCTGGGGGCTCGACGTACTGGGGGTGCACATTAAGTAACTGATCATTGTGGAGAATTATTAACATCGTCCTATATCACGTAATTTGCCTACAACTACAAGTAATAGCGAACTCGAACAAAATTGTTTCCCTCTATAGGAAAATGATTTTTGGAGAGTTTTTGCAAAAGATTTTGATATAATGCTCAATGTAAAAAATATGGGATACATAATGAACGTCCAAAAAGTCCTATTTGTACAAGATGAGAGGTTGTGAATGAAGTGTCACGCCTAAAACTCAACAACCTACACGTCGCTAGCCTGTCACTGGCCTCTTGCTCAGGCAACAGTGACACATGTTCAGTAGCAATGCTATTCTTCTTCTTCTCCTCCTATAAATGCTTAGCATAAATGTATATGCACAATTCATATTTACGAATACATCTTTATTGGAAAAACATAAAAAATTGTGCACGTGTAAGAAGTGTGCAAGTTACGTGTAAAACCAAACGATAAATAATTAAGGAATACTCATGATGTTGTTTTCAAGGAAGGGTAATTTTGGTTTAGCCTATACATCTATAATTAACTATTACACAAGCATACGAAAGAAATTCCAGCATAAGTTTGATAAGGTAACTAGTAAATTTTTTCGATTTTTTTAAAATTCTACGCTTAATGCTTTGTTCTTGGGAAGGTAATTTTCATTGAATTCATCATTCTAGAGTTTAGTACAAGTGCTCTCGTGTCTTGTGTATTGGGTTCTCCCCCTATCACTCGTTGAGATTGTGTTAGAGAGTGAAAAAGTTGGAAAACAAGTGTTAAAAATCCAAAAAATTTCAGTTACAGATTCAAAGGCTATAGTTCATGTAAATCTCTGTCTGTCTTTTATAGTTTTTGGTAAAAGCTGTTAAATTTTTGTTTTTGTTTAACTCTTGATGTTTGTTTTTTTTTGTTTAATATTCATAGACGAGCGTTGTTCCTAGGTGAAGTTTAATATTTGATTATTAATTTCTTTACTTTTTGTTATTTATTAACCATGTAATGTGAAGTACTTTTGTATTTTTTCTGAATAATGCTACTTGTACATAATGAAGTTATATAATGACCGATTACAGATGATGAAGTAAGATATGATTGAGTCAGAATTTTTTTAACCAAATAATAATAATACAAATTTCTCCACTATACGTTTGAAACCTCGTCTATATGCAAATCATTATGAAAACTCTATTATATACATGTAGCATAATCGTTTTTTCTAAAGTTTCTCTCTATCACCCATGGAGCGTGTTAGAGATTAAAAATTAGAATATAAAGTATAAAAAACTAAAAAAGATTTCAATTACAGATTCAAAGGCAACAGCGTATGTAAGTCGAATATTTGACAGTTTATTTTTTCCTTTATGGTTTAATTTTTGGGTTTGTATGCCTCTTGATGTTCGTGTTTTTTATTAATATTGATGGACAAGGCAATGGGTTTTGGTCCTGATATTCGAAGGTTCGAATCCTTCCGTCCCAGAGCCATATTCATTTTTTTAGAATTATAGAATAAAGATTGTTTTCTTGAACAATTTTCTATTTAAAGTCTAATTTTAGATGGAATGTGATTCTTTTTTATCTTATATGAATCACATTTTTTTCACAAACTGAACTGAATTGGGTTCAAATGACATGCATTTGAACTTGAATCTATTTTTTATCAGGTAAGATGGAAACACGGATTGAAACAAAGAGTTTGAATTCAAAAAAGTTGGGTGAGCTTTTCATCATATGTTCATTCCCTTTGATATTTAGGGAAGTTAGTTGGAAAAACTTTCCATCCCATATCTATTTGAATTTTCAACGATGGATGTGTTTTGAATCGAGATGCAAAAGAATCTATATTCCCTAGCTCTTATTATTTATCCTGTAAATGAGGGAGTCTAATTAGTGATTAGATTTTTATCGAGATCTCTGAATTCGAAACAAGAGCGAGTTCTTGGCACTATTTAAATTCAATCAAGAGGACTAAAGTCTCTTAGTGGGGAGTGTTACTGAAATTTGTCGATGTTATGAATAAAATGATATGAAAAAGAGAAGTATGGAATTGTAGATATGTTCACACGTGTTTAATGTTTTGATACCTACTAAAAATCAGTAAAATGAAAATACCTCATTTCCCTATAAATTATTTTCTGAAAACTGAAATTCTAAACATAAAAGTAATTAAGTGCCAAGGACAATCACTCCTTAAAATCAATGTTGTCATTATTCTTCTTCTTGCCTATTTAAATGCTTTGCATAAATGTAAAACACGACATTCTTATTCATAAATACTTCTTTGCCGAAAAAATAAAAATAATGCACGTGAAAGATGCGTGCAAAATACTTGTTCACGGAAGGATACCATACACCTGAAATTAACCGTTAAACATGCATACGAAAGAATTTTCATTACAAGTTTGACACGACGGCTAACAAATTTCGTAGCTAATTTTTTGTAATTCTACTCTAATGCTATGTTCTTGTGAAGATAATTTTCAATACTTAGACTTTTGTGTTTTTTGTTTTGGAATTTCTCTCTATTGTTCACTTTGTGTGTTATAGAGTGAAAAAAAATTGGAGAATTAATATAAAAAATCCCAAAAAAAAAATAAATTCAATTACAGATTCAAAGGCTATAGTTTATGTAGATCTCTTTCTCTGTCTTTTAATTTTTTGTATAAACTGTTTGATTTTTGTTTTTGTTTAATACTTGGTGTTCGTGTATTTTGTTCAATATTCATGGATGTGCATTGGTCACTGTTGAAGTTAATTTTACATAAGAATAATGGAGTCGGAATTTAAGAATGAATGAAACATTTACAATCTTTGTTCATTTTCGTGTTTAAATGAAAAGAGAAATATTACATGTCTCAAATCAATGAGAATGTTTAAAGTGACTCGATATTTTAAAAATGCATTAGGTCATTTTACCTTTTATATAACATATTTAATAAATAAATAAATAAACAAGTCTTAAATATTTTCTTCATTATCTGTTTAGTGTCAATTCAGTACAACTGCTTGTGTGTTTTCAAATTCAACACATTTTTGGCACCGATGGTTTAATTTTTTTTTTTTTTCAAATTCATTTTAATTTTTAACGTTTTAAACACACATTCTTCAAAAACATCACTTTTCAAAAAATACTTCTAAAAAATCTACCCAAAAAATGTCCTTAATTCCAAATAAGTAGAGATATGATTAATTGAAAGGTCAAATTCCAACTTTATCCTCAATAAAGTCACGAAAGGACTAAAAAAGATAAAATTGTCGTTTCATACTCTGCTTATTGTTGCAAACTGTACAGGTACAGTATAGCAATATTCACCTCTATAATATATACAGTGCCTTTTCGTTTTCTTTTCTCTCGTTTCTCTGTGTCACTCACCCAGTGTGTTAGAGAGTGAAAAGGTAAGAAATTTACGCAAAAAATTCCAAAAAATTTCAATTACAGATAAAAGGTAAAGTTTATGTAAGTATCGCTCTGTATTTTAATTTTTTGTAATAGCTGTTTGATTTTATCTTTATTTTTTGTGTTTAACCCTTGGCGTTTGTGTATTGTTTAATATTCATCGATCGTCGCCGAAAGTTTAACTTTAATTTTTTGTATGAAGTTTTGAGTTGAAAAATTGAAATGCATGTTGTTTTTAAACACTTTCTCATATTGGGGGTTTTTGTTCTTTAATGGGGTTTTCTGGAAATAAAAATTGGAAGATGCAGTGATCACGTTTCTGTACCAATGCATGAAAAAGAGGAGCATGATCAAATCTCCTCAAACTTTAATACCCCCGTATTCTTAAAACGATTCTGGATGTGACTCGTTTTCTGTAAAATTGGGGTTTTGGGTTTTAGATCGCCAGGGCACTCAAACGCACACGCTTAACAGAGATGTGAAATTAAGGAATATATGTACATTCCTCGAGCCTATTTGCATGTGGATAATTCTGGCTAATTTTAATGCGTTGGATTTTAATTATTAGTGCTTCAATTAAAGAACCGAAAAAAATAAAGCCTAAAATCCGAACAAAATTTGATTTGGAAGGAAAAAAATTGAAGAACTATACTTTTCCCCCTTTTCTGGCCAGGGTTGGAAGAAGGAAGGGTCTGGTTCTTTGGAGGCTTTTGCAAATTCGTGCATATCAATTCTTAGATTTTCTCGGAATTTTTCATCTTACTTTTACCTATTTTAAAGAGCAACATCTAAGGTAGGTTCTTTTCCTAAAAAAATTATTATATCAAAGGGTTGTCAGTATCTTATGGCCCACGTATTTATAAGCAAATGCCTTTGGAATAGATTATGCGTTGAAGATAACTTTCTTCATAGATCTGTTTGTAGTAACAAGAATTTAGAGTTTCACTGATTAATTGTTATTTATTTTATTTTTTCGGTTGATTCCAGATCTGATGGGTGCTTTGGATTCCATGGAAGAGGTTGGACCTAGTAGCCTCAGCGAGAAGTTTTCAAACGGTACCTCCAAAATGGATATTGATGATGATGATATATATTTTGATGATTCTGATTCGGATGGTGACGCTGAAAGCTGTTTACAAGAGTTAGGTAAAGAGTTCCTGAAAAACTTCTGTAAAAAGACGTCAACAGCGTTTTTTGAGCAGTATGGCCTAATTAGTCACCAAATCAACTCATATAACGATTTTATTAAGCATGGTATTCAACAAATGTTCGACTCTATTGGTGAGATTATTGTGGAGCCCGGTTATGATCCGTCAAAAAGGGGAGATGGTGATTGGAGATATGCATCTCTCAAGTTTGGGAAGGTTACACTCGAGCAGCCGACATTTTGGACAGGCGAGAAGTTTTCAGCTGATGGTGGTAAAGAGTTCCTGGAAATGTATCCTCGACATGCCCGTCTGCAGAATATGACCTATTCGTCCAGGATAAAAGTTGAAACTCATCTTCAGGTATGCAGATACACATTTATCTCATTCCAATTGCTTTGATTATACGCTTCAATTATATTAAAGATGTGCATTTCCTTTAAATTCAAATACTTCCATTTCTGGAGTACTACAGTTCTTTTTTTTTGGTTAATTTTTTTGATAATAAGCATTCAATTGTCAAGAGTTCTGGTCCAAGTAACTTTGCTGGTCATTAACTTCATTTAAAGTATCATTTTTTCAACTTGTTTGATTTTGTTTAAAGTATTCACTTACAGGATGAACTTCATTACAAATTTGTTTTTTCTATTCTTCTAATTGCACGTTTTCAATTTTTCCAGTTGTAATTTGTCTATTAGTTTACTCAATTCGTGCTTTGAATGGGGCTAGAATGGACGTTCTAAAGAGCTCTTATCTGTTTTGTACCGATTGCTATCTGTTGATTGTTTTTTTTGCAAACTTTAGAAGGTTCATCATGTCAATATTAATGATAACAGCATACTCCCAGAGTGCGTGTGTGTGTGCGCTACCTTCTCTTCTAGTTTTAACGTTTGGCATTTAATCTTTTTGCTTTGTTCCTTGAACTTTTCAGGTTTATAGTAAAAATGTTGCAAGAAGTGACAAGTTTAAAACTGGAGTTGAACAATTTGTTGAGAATAAAGTACTAAATGATTATCACAGTGATATCATCTTTGGGCGACTCCCTGTAATGGTGAAGTCAGACTTGTGTTGGCTGAAAGGAGTTGAGAAAGTGGATTGTGAATTCGATCATGGAGGTTATTTTATAATCAAGGGGGCAGAGAAGGTGAGAATGCTGTGCTACTGTTTGTCAAGTAAAATTGTTTATGGTTGTGATTGTAAAGGTGTCCTATCTAGATGATTGAGCAATAGTGACACATTTACTGTCTTTTATATCTGATTGTGCTAACGAAACAACATATGTGCAAGAGGATTATCCTGAGAGAATCAACAGATGAGAGTTTTCAAATTCTTTAGTTGAGATCATGTTTAGACCATCAGTGAAGTTTAATTGCTAAAAAAACAACAAATGAAATACTTTAATGGATGCTTTTAACGATATTACCAATAATGTGATAAACTACGCTGTGTTTGGTGAAGATTTCATCCTATGTCTGCTAGGTTTGACTTCTTCAGGGTACAATACATTTTATTTTATTTTATTTTATCTGCCAATGGAAAGAGCATGCTTTATTCACTAAAATGTCTGGCTTTTTTTCCTTGCACATCATTTTAATGGTTTTTAAAGTTTAAAGATATTGGATGATTAATTCTTTAGCCAGGCTTATATATCTAGGTGCAATATTCATGATTAATCCAATAAGCCTATTATCATTTCATTAAGTCCACCTACCGGGTACAAGATAAGAGCTGTCTCCAAATTTATAACCAATCAGAAGGTTCTCCCTTTTTCAGTTATACTGGATCTTGTATAAAATGTGATTATTGAAGATAATTGATTAATTTTCTTCCAACCTTTATTGCAGACGTTTATTGCTCAGGAGCAAACATGCCTGAAAAGATTGTGGTTGTCCAATGATCCTCTGTGGACCATTGCATATCGACCCGTTTCGAAACGTAAAAGAGTATATATGAAACTAGTTCCAAAAGTGGAGCAGTTCATGGGAGGAGAAAAGTTCATGACAGTGTACTTCTCAGTGACAGAAATTCCCATCTGGATTTTGTTCTTTGCCCTGGGTGCTCAAAATGACCGAGAGATAGTAAATTTGATTGGTTTGGGCACAGAAGATTGTGCTATTGTGAATGTACTTCTCGCATCAATACATGATGCTGACAAACAGTGTGAGGGGTTTCGTAAGGGGGACAAGGCAATCCGTCATGTTGAGAAACTGATAAAGAGTTGCCAATTCCCACCTAAAGAATCAATCGAAGAATGCATCACCAACTACCTGTTCCCCAATCTTAAAAGTTTTCAACAGAAGGCTCGTTTTTTAGCCTATATGGTGAAATGTCTCTTGGAAGGCTATACAGGCCGCAGGAAAGCTGATAATAGAGATGATTTCAGGAACAAGAGGTTGGAGTTGGCTGGTGAATTGCTCGAGAGAGAGTTGAGAGTTCACATTAAACATGCCGAGAGGCGCATGGTCAGGGCTATGCAAAGAGATCTTTATGGAGATCGGGAAGTGCAGTCAATTGAACACTACATGGATGCCTCAATCATAACTAATGGTCTGTCTAGAGCATTTTCAACTGGAGCATGGTCACATCCTTTCAAGAGGATGGAGAGGATCTCTGGTGTGGTGGCAACTCTGAGGCGAACAAATCCACTGCAAACAACAGCGGATATGAGGAAAACTCGCCAGCAGGTTTCATACACGGGGAGGGTTGGAGATGCTAGATACCCGTAAGTGATTGGAGTTAATACTTATCCTGTTTCATGATGTAATTCTGAAATCTGATTCTCTCCATACAGCCTCTTTGCTGCAACTTCTTTCAATTAATAAGTTGTCTTGTCATCTTTTCAACATTTCTTGTTCTTATTTTAAAGTGTGGCTGTAGTTCTTCCCGAAGATGAATTAATCAACTCCTAGCTATTATAAATTAATAATTATGGAATACTGATTCTAGAATTTGTATTATATTTTATTCAGGTGTAGGAATGCATCTGTTTGGAAAGAAAACTTTTGAAGGATTGAGCGTCGAATGTTCCAAATGTATATTGTTTAAATATATTTTTCTGGGATGACATTTTTAAACTGAAACGATTAAGATATCCTTCACAAATCTTTAAAAATATCTGTTTTATGTGTTTATCTATCAGGGAACTGGGCAAGTTTATCTAATGATTTAATTCTAGAATTCTTTCTTTTGCTCACTGTATTGAGTGATATATCCCTTTTATGAATATATCTCATCCACAATGCAATGGTGTATTTGAAATTTCTGCTAGCACAATTTATAAAGAACGTGAAATGCTGATATATCCACATAAATTGTCCTTCAAGTATCAGTTAGATGTCCTAAACCGTTGCTGAATGAGTTGTCTGAAACTGCACCAATGTCATATCTGTCTAAGCGACCTATATATTTCATATCATGACTTATGAGTCATGAATGCATATCGTGTTTGGCACTATAGTGTTGTTAGTATCTAATTATGTTTGGATTTGATTATACAGGCATCCTTCTCACTGGGGTAAGATTTGCTTTCTCACTACGCCAGACGGTGAGAATTGTGGACTAGTTAAGAATCTGGCAAGTTTGGGTCTTGTCAGTACTTACATACTGAATCTGGACCATGTTCTTGATAAATTGTACGATTGCGGGTTGGAAAAATTGGTGGATGATTCTTCAACTGCTCTCGATGAAAAGCACAAAATTTTTGTGGATGGAGATTGGGTTGGAATATGTAGAGATTCTGCATCATTTGTTGCAAAGCTCAGACACAAACGTCGCAAAATGGAAGTGCCACATCAGGTTATCTTGCATGCAAAATTTAGTTTAAAACGATTTTGGTGAAACTTTAGTAAACTATATTACTAGAAAGAGCTACAAAATAAAAATATTTCATGCTTTTTTGTATATTGGAAATGTCAAATGCGATCACTACATTTGCTTTTTCAAGAATTTTTTCACTTAATCCACTATATAAATTGTGTAGATTGAAGACCATTTATATCATGCATGACTTTATCATGGTACTGTTGTGAGATGTTTACGTCTCTTAAAAATTTAATTTAATTTGAAGTTAACATACATGTGCTGTGCCATCAGCTATTGTACAACTGGAAGTTGTTGCTTATGTAGTCACTCCATCTTAGTATATATTAGACATGCTAGGGTATTGTATCTTGCTAATGTTCTAAACTTTATTAGCATTCATTTGGGGTTCCACATGATTAGATGTAACTGTATTCTCTTTTCTACCAACTTGTGTCGTTTTCCATTGAGAACCAATCTGTATGTGTGTTTAAGCACACACTTGCATACACTTTAATGCATGTGCCCATTTGGATGTATGTTAAATCTGTTACTGTATTGCATTCGAGTGTTGGTTTGAAATCTTTATTTCTTGATTTCCTTGTAGATTGAGATCAAAAGGGACCAGCATCATGGAGAAGTGCGCATATTTACAGATGCTGGAAGGATACTCCGTCCTCTTTTAGTTGTCCGAAATTTAAAGAAAATTAGAGATTTGAAAGGAGAATATTCATTTCAATCACTTTTAGATAATGGAATTGTTGAGCTCATTGGACCTGAGGAGGAAGAAGATTGTCAAACTGCATGGGGTATATCTTACCTCTTTACAGCGAAGGAAGAGAATCCACCTATGAAATATACTCACTGTGAACTTGATAGTTCTTTCTTAGTTGGGATAAGCTGTGGAATTATCCCTTTTGTAAATCATGACCATGCGAGGAGGATTCTGTATCAGGCTGAGAAGCACTCTCAGCAAGCTATAGGATTTTCCACTACAAATCCAAATATAAGAGTTGATACTAACATTCATCAATTATATTACCCACAGAAACCACTTGTCCGAACATTGCTTTCCGACTGTCTTGGAAAGCCAAGGTATGCCCGTCACCATAAGGGCATTCTCCCTCACCCTGAATTCTTCAACGGGCAATGTGCTATCGTGGCTGTCAACGTTCATCTTGGGTACAACCAAGAGGATTCAATAGTTATGAACCGTGCATCGATGGAACGTGGTATGTTTCGTTCGGAACATATTAGAAGTTACAAAGCCGAGGTTCTTAACAAGGAAGCACTTGGAACGAAGGCCAAGGCGGAGGACTGCATAAACTTTGGAAAGATTCAGAGTAAAATTGGAAGAGTTGACAGTCTGGATGATGACGGGTTTCCTTTTATTGGTGCAAACCTCCAAACTGGTGATATTGTCATTGGAAAGCATGCAGAATCAGGGGTTGACCACAGCATCAAGCTGAAGCACACAGAAAGAGGCATGGTTCAGAAAGTGGTGCTTTCTGCTAATGATGATGGGAAGAATTTTGCCGCCGTGTCTCTGAGACAGGTAATATTAGTTTTTATGTATTATTTGATTTTTAGGAGCATCAATATCGTTGATTTCTTACAATGTACCTCACAGTCCTTTGCTTTTAAGCTGTCCCTTTATCAGCGTTGCAGAATTTTCAACTCTATAGTTTTCCTTGATTATATTCCAAATAACTTTATGCATTTTTTTTATTTGCCCCGCACAATTTTTTCAGGATGGTGATATTTCACAATTGATTGTGAACCACAAAATAGATAGATATTTTGAGTTGATTAGCATCAGTAAAAGGAAATTTAGAAAGAACTTATGGATCATTTGCTCAACTTCAGGAGACCAGGTTTTAGATTAGCTCAACTCCCCTCGAGGCTGGAAGTCGAAGCAGCTTTCCAGATTTCCTGTATGAGTACTCTTAAAACTAAGAAAAGTGGGAACTGCAGGGATAGTGTTGGGAGAATATTTTACAATTGAATACTGCAGTTGCCATAAATGTTAATTTGAGATGTACTCGGGCTTTTCCTATGATCAGTATTACAACTCGACTATATTTTGCATTAGATCCTTGTGGTACTTACGTTTCTGGATATATGGCTCTACAGGTTCGTGCTCCCTGTTTGGGGGACAAATTTTCAAGCATGCATGGACAGAAGGGTGTGCTGGGGTTCCTGGAATCTCAAGAAAACTTTCCTTTCACCATGCAAGGGATAGTTCCAGATATTGTGATAAACCCTCATGCATTTCCTTCCCGGCAAACTCCTGGTCAACTTTTAGAGGCTGCTTTGGGCAAAGGGATCGCCCTTGGAGGTGCACTAAAATATGCCACCCCATTTTCCACTCCATCAATGGAGGCTGTAACTGATCAGCTTCATAGGTATGAACTCGTAAATGAGCAACTTTACTTCGCCATACATGAATTTTGTTTAGTCAGCATAAAAATAATCTGTGTGCATCTGACTGGCAGGCTTGGATTTTCAAGATGGGGAAACGAGAGAGTTTATGATGGCCATACTGGTGAAATGGTTCGTTCCCTCATTTTTATGGGCCCCACATTCTACCAGCGCCTGACGCATATGGCTGAAGACAAAGTAAAATTCAGGAACACAGGGCCAGTTCACCCTCTTACTCGACAGCCAGTGGCAGACCGTAAGCGTTTTGGTGGAATCAAATTTGGTGAAATGGAACGTGACTGTTTGATAGCTCATGGGGCAGCAGCCAACCTGCACGAACGCCTCTTCACTCTCAGTGATTCCTCGCAGATGCACATATGTGGAAAATGCAAAAATATGGCAAATGTAATACAAAGGTCAGTACTTGGTGGACGGAAAATCCGAGGTCCCTATTGTCGGTTCTGTGAGTCAGCAGAACATGTAGTTAAGGCGAATGTGCCATATGGGGCGAAGTTACTGTGTCAGGAGCTATTCAGCATGGGGATCTCTCTCAAGTTTGACACTGAAATATGTTGAGTTCCCGGTTGATCTCTGTTTGTTGTGGTGTTTGAAGACAATACTATGAAATTGTCGCTGTAACGTTATTTATGCTTTTATTATCTTGTTGGGATGTAAGTTCAGATGGTATTCTACCTATTTTCAAATTAAGTAGTCTCTAACTTAACTGTTCTATCGATCGACATTGTTGATCCTAACTGTCATTTTTAGTCCAGATTGATGACAAAGTGCGGTCTGCATGAAACAAATAATCGTTTGTGGGTTAGTCGTGGTGGTGGAATGAGCCTCACCTGCATGGATTGATGATGTCAATGTTTGTTCGTTCATTCTTCATTTGGTAAGTTGTGTTTGATTATGAATTACATGAAGATACGTATTTACGGTGAAATTGGAATTGAAAGTTCGAGCACAATCAAATTATGTCCAACACCAGGGGCGCCCCTATGATCTTTGAAATTTCGTTTTTTTAACAAAGATAGTACGTCTCAAATTTGTGTCTTGTATTTTTTATATTATTATATGATCGAGACTCGAGAGCATCCAAATTTACGTAAATAAAACTATAGTAGTATTGACATTAGAACACGAAAGATTGATTTTTATCTAAAGTTGGTTTTTAATAAAATTTATAATTGTAATCAACAAATTTTCAATCACACATTTTATCAACTTTTATCAAAATATACAAAAAAATTATTTTTATCTAAATTTAACCGGACTTCATGAACTTACGAAATTCATAAAATACGAGTTAGATGACTTGTAAATAGAGCGGTACAATCTTCCCCATATTTTTGCTCCATTTCTAACGTTAAACGCGAAAGGAACTATTTTGATTTTTGAACACTAACTATAAGCTTAGCCAAAAACAATGTAAATAAAGTAGTATGCAGTACAAACTTGAGAGGGAGATAACCTTCAGCTAAGGTATAAAAGAGAACTTACCCCCCTCGATAAACAGGCATAAATAAATAGTACAAATTTAAGAGTTAGCTATTGCCTTGATGGTATGCAATCACAGATTATTCAGTCCTTCAAATCATGACCACCAGCACGCCTCCTCAAATCCTCACTATGCTTATCAATACTACTATGATTATTAGTTTCATGGTTTGCTTTAAGATGACTATGTGACAGTTTTTTAACAACTGGATTAACTGCGTGTTTTGTAAAAAATGAAGTGAAATGTTGCCATGTGTAAACTCTGTAAATCAGGGTGTACATGTAGAAGGACTGTAGTTTGAATCCCAAATCGAATCACGCCCGATGCTTCTCTAATATTCTTGCTAGTCTCTTTAGCAGCATCCCATGCATCATCCATGGTCTGTTGCCTTTTCTCACTAATTCACTGCCGTATCCATAGCTTTCACAGTCCCTTCTTTTGCCATTTCCACCACCACACTCGTAGTCAAGGGCGGACCTATACAGGGGCCTACAGGGGCACATGCCGTTGTAGATTTTGAGGTTTTTTTTAATTAAATATTAAAAAAAAATCTAAAACCTACCTTTCATTTCTCTCCAGCAGCCCAGCTGCCTGAGTCGCCTCTCTTCTGAGTTCTCTCCCGTCTCCAAAATCCATCCCGTAATCCTCTTTTTCCTATTTTTCCTCCAAAAAAAAATCTGAAAGTTAGATTGTGCTCCCCTAGTTTCTAAAGTCTGCATCCGCCCCTGCCCGCATCACTGTCTCATTCTTTGCTGTTTCGACCTTCCCTCGTATTTCATTTCGATTCCTAGTTACACCCTGAAAATTACGAAAAATAAAAAAAATAAATATGTACCTAATTCTTAAAGACAAAATTCAAGAGAAAGATTTACCTTGTAATTGTTCTCGAACAGCACCTACACCAGTAGAGATATCTCAATGGCGAAATGTATCGAAGCTTGGGTTGGATGCCTCTTTTGATGAATAAATGGAAATATTACCTTGTAAATTTTTGGCAACGTTATTTTACAGCACTTGTAAATTGCCTGAGAGTTATTTCCCTCTACCTCGATGGACTATGGTATTCGTCGAATGAAACACGGGCAACACGTGTCTGAAATTCATACAATGATTTTTGGTGACTCAGCATCAGGGCAGAGCTGACTTTGTATAACTTTGATTTTCAGTGGTATTTGTGTTGATTTACTTTTTGTTATTGACTTGTGGCCCACACCATTTAACTATGCGCAATGGTCCAACTTGGGCTGAAATTTTTGATTATCTATACAATCATACAGCCGATGCCTTTTGAGAGAGCAAGCCCATATTATAGCTCTTTCAATTGAAGTAGGCACTAGTTCAGTAGTTTTTGTCACTTTATTCATTGTTCAGAAGTATAGTAGTCTATCAACTTGTTTCCTCTGCTACTACTTCTCTAGTTTCTCGTAATTGAGTCAATTATTTGTACACAAACGAAAACACAGTCGACTTTCACAAATGTGAGAACGAGTCAGAAACATTAGTACGTCAAATAAAATAATGTATCTTTCTTTATATTGATATCATTTGAACATATTAAGATTGGAAGATCCATTTGATATCCAAAAACTGCACGTAGAATAAGTAGGGAATGCATAATGCCATGCTGATAGGGTTCTACTACTTCTATATCAGATGTGAAATTTCTACAAAGAAATAATAGTTACATGAGAAATGCCCAAGTATCACTAGTGTTAGATAATTTTATAAAAAGGACCTTAAACTTCATTGAATCTGTATATCAAAGAAAAGAGAGTAGAAAATTAAACTGACAACGACCGAGGCTACTTCAACCAAAATAAGGGCAACCCCTATTCAAACCGAAAGAAATACCTCATCTCACTTATGAAGAAGTCGTTGGAGCCGGGCTCCGAACTATGAGTTTAGGTTAAAATTAAAATATGAAGTAACTAAGATGAAGAAGAAAAGGACCTTCAAAAGATAGCAGTATGTAATGCTTTCCATTTCACTAGCCATCCAATTCGGAGGCGATATACATGGTGAAACTCAGCATAAAATTGAATCACTTGGATCATCAGTTCTCTGCCAGCCCTCTTGGTAAAAACTGGAGTTTTCTTCGTTTACAGTTATTTTTTGTTTCATTTTCCAGATAAAAATGAAACTTAATTTCTCGAGAAGGAAACAAATAAAACGTTATTGTTATGTTTGTCCTATCTCAATCTCATCTAGCCATGAAACAACTTCACCAATAGGAGGTCTTCTTCTAGGATCCTGGTCTTTACATATACAAGCTATTCCGAGCACCTCCATAAGTTGTTTTTCAGAAGCTCTATCTCGTATTGATGAATCGAATATATCC